CAGTTGAGAGGGGAGGTGCATAGACAGAGGAAGCTAAACAGGATTTCTTTCGGGAGCCCTGGAAAGGCTCTCAGAAGCAAGTTACTTTTCGGGTCCCCGGGTCCCAGTTGACCCTAACCCTGAATCCGGGGAGCAGGCCATGCGCACTGCATATCACTAAAGCTTCTGCAGCAGAGGTTAGGTGGACCCTGGTCCGGCTGTCCAGGGCCACCCCCGCCCCCAGCAGGCCTCCCCCACCTGGCGGCCTTCTCCGGGGCCACGCGTTTCCTGCTCGCCAGAGATGGGGGGGGCGCCGCTCAAGAGGGGGGGGGTTGGGCCGCGGGAGCGCGCGCCTGGGCGGGCGGGCTGGAGGATGGGAGCTAGAGAGGGGGAGAGCGAGTGGCTGCGGGGAGCGAGCGCGGGAGGCCGCGGCCAGACAGAGCACCCGACGCTTTGCGGTCCCTCGCGCTTTTTCAGTCACCTAAGACTGCCGCCACTCGGCGCTGGTTTGCTAAGCAGCAGGATTTGGGAAACCGGCACAGCCAGAGCTTGTTCCCCGCTCTCCTCGCCAACTCCCCCTCCTTCCTTTTTCCTCTTTGCTTGGCCTTCCCTTCCGCCCTCCCTCTCCTTCTCCCCTGCCTGCTCCCCCTCTCTCGGGCTTACCATACTGGGGATCGGTGGCTTCCCATGTAGTGATGGGCTTGCGGCAGCCTGGGCCACTCCGTGGCAGTGGCGGGCGCAGGTTGCCAAGGGGCTGGGCCGGGCACGATCGCAGGGTTATCTCCTTGGCGGCGGCAGTGGCAGCGGCAGTGGCAGCGACAGCGAGTGAGGCAGCCCCGCGCGGGCAGCTCCAGAACTGGTCGGTGATTTAGGTAGTTTCCTGTTGTTGGGATCCACCTTTCTCTCGACAGCACGATACTGCCTTCATTACTTCAGTTGAAATCGTCTCCAGGTACCTGTGCGCGCGCGGGGGGCCGGCCAGGCGGGGGGCATCATGGCTCCGGTCGTGCCAGGCCTGCGGTGGCAACCTCGGCTTTCCCTGTGCAGGAGCTGCGTGTCTTCCCAGCGCTGTGCCAGCTAGCCGGCCTCACCATCTCCCTCCCCTACACCTGGCTGGGAGAGCAGGTATGGTCAGGTTTGCTGCTGCTTCTTTGGACGCCGGGGGCGTGGTAAGAATTCTGGGCCCCGGGCCATTCAAGGTCAGGGGCGCTCCCTTGCATCCTAAGCCTTCTCTACTGTAGGCCGGCGCTGGTCCGAGACCCCGCCATTCTTATGCAAGGCTGAAATACACACACACCCTCCACACCGAGTACCGAGTGTGAGCTCTGGAAAGATCCCTTTGCCAATGGGGACCGGAGCTGTGGAAAAAAAGACCGGGGCGCTGGGATCCTGGCCTTGTCACTTCCCCTTTCCTCTCCTCTCTCTCTCTCTCTCTTTCTTCGCCTCCTGTTCCCAGGGGTCGTCTCGATTTGCTTTACTTTCTTCTCTCCTTGCTTCCTCTTTTACCTCTCATGTTTCTTCTCTTTGCACCTTATTTCTTTTCTCTATTGTTTTTTCATCTTCTCTTTCCCTCCCATTCTTTCTATCCCAAGGCCTTGAAGAAGGGATGGCTAGGGGAACGCCTGGAGGCCTCATTTGTTTCCCCCCTGCGTGCTGAAGTGAATGTTGTGTAGTCTGCCACGGAAGGAGTGTGCGCGGCGACAGTACAGGGCCGTGGGTTTGGGCCCGGTGTGCCTCTGAGTAGACAAGGCCTCGGTTATGATCACGACCGGATGGCGGCGGCCTTGCGTTCTTTCTCTGCGGGTCGCTAACGGCTGCCTGGAGACCCGATTAGGGGGGCATTCGTAGCGTCTTTGTGTACCCAGGCGAGAGGCAAAGAGGACTTCGCCAGCCTCCCTGGCGGATATTGGGTTCAGGCTGAGGCTCAGCCCGGCTAGAGTCTGATCACCACGATACCTCCTGGGGAAGCTCCTGGCTGGCCCTTCCAGGCGGCTGATCCTAACTCGGGCTGTGACCACGGTGAGGGTGATGGAAATGCTGCTAGAGCAAAGCTGCTTGCCTACCATTTACACTGGGTTCAGCTATTTTAGGCAGGGCTCCCTTGTACAACTTGGTGCTGAAGGAGACCCTTTCAAACGCCAGCATGTCTCCAATAAGTAAAGGAATCTCAAATTCAAGAACGATTGGTACACAACCGAGTCCTTGTTCCATTTGTAATCTAATGATGGGAACAAGCCTATTCTCAATATTGAAAACTGAAAATAAACCATTCCTCCTTCCCCATAACACACACACACACACACACACACACACACACACACACACACACACACTTTCAGACTCATTCCCACAGAAGTGTACTTCCTTCTCTTAGCTCAGGCCAGGAATTGTTTACTTGCTCAGCCACAAACCTGTTATCTGAAAGGCTCGCACTTCCAGTCCCTTTCAACTTCTCTCTGCCTTTTTCCGGATCAAGATTTTAAGCAAACTCTTCCTTAAGAAGTCTGTAATTGCACCAGTTTGTGATTTTTAATCTACACTCGATCTCTTCCTCTTCCAAAATAAAAGCAGCTCAAAAGTTTGAATATTTTAGTCTTAAACCACTGGGCTCAAGAACGGAGAATAATTGGTTTTGTGAATTTCTCCTGGCTTCTAGGCACCATTAAACAGCTGCTTAACACCCAATACCTGCTAATTATTCCATAAGCTTCCTATTTGGGGAGTAAGGCTTTTTAAAGGGACAGTCTTTGTCTTTTAAAAATTAATCTATGTCGTATCTGGGCACACACACACACACACACACACCGGAAAAGACAGCCAGATATCCTCTTTTGTTTGTGAACAATTAAAATTAGTGATTAAGTTTTCCTCCAAAGTTAATTTTTTAAATGAAAATACCCAGAGTTCCTGGTGACTCCCGGAGATTTAGGACACCTTGGGTTCAGTGGCAGAGTGGGTAAGATGCAGAGGAATTTGAAAGGAAAATACTAGGGTAGAGAAGGCTGAGGCAGCCCTGACAGGCCATGTCGGAGTTCATTGTGTCGGCCACTTTTTGTGTCTAACAAACAGGCCCTTGGTGGAAGAAGGAGTATCCAGTTCACATGCATGTGGCTTTGCAGCCTCCTTCTGTGGTTGAGCCCTAGCATCGGGGGGGGGGTTCCTTGCCACCTGGGTTAGAGATCTGTCAGGATATTTAGGGGTGATTACTTTTAAGGGTTGATGAGGGGAAAGGTGGGGGGAAGAGAGAGAGAGAGAGAGAGAGAGAGAGACCCTGAGGCCGATGGCCTCACCTCCAGGGAAGTAGACTAATGAGAAACACACTCCTGGACACATAGTATTTACATGTGAATTTAATTACCCAGTTTCTAGAAGTCACTGCTTTCTTTTCAAAATTGATATCCCCCCCCCCAATTAACAAAAGTGGTGGGAGCCTTTCATTTACTCTCTCCCCCAAAGACTGTGCAGGGTGAGAAATCGCCTCCTCAATTTGGCTGGCCAAATGATGGGATTAAAGTCAATGCCCTGTGCGACCTCTCCTCCTCCCCGTTTTAATTTTTTAGCCCTGGACTTGAGCTGCAACTGCTTTGCTTTAGGCCCTGTAATCCTCTGCTGCTTGGTTCCACGGGCGACCAAGGCAGAGGTGGGGCGGTGGCCAGAAAGGAAGAAGAAAGGAGGATCTCTGAATGACTCACATTGAGTCCCGGGACTGCTACTCCAGCCACCCGGAATCTCTTAGGCAGTGCTGCCTTTCAGCAAATCCACCTCTCATTAATGTTGCTTGATGTCCCTCATCCCCACCCCCACCCTAAGTTGGGTTTGGGAAGCCTGAAGAAGCTTGCAGATTTTAGCATTCGGGCCTGGGTGGAGCACAAGGCTACCTTCTCCCAGGAATCGTTAATCCCAGCTGATCACGGGCAATAGGCGTTGGGGCATGGGCAGGGTTGAGTTCGTGGCACCAGCAGGCCTTCCAAACTTTCACCTTAGGGGCAGCTGGTGGCTTCCCACTTTGCCAGTTCCAGCGTGGGTCCCTTGCTGGAGGAGCAAGAATGGTCCAGGGGCTTCGCTGGACGTCTGGTTGGGCAGGCTGGCAGGCTGGGGCCGGGAGAGCGGCTACCCCAGGTGGTGTGTCTCTTTGGGGACCAGAACTTGCAGAACCAGACGGGCGGCTGTTGGCTACTCTGGAGTGGATACTGCGTTGAATTTGACTCTTTTTTTTTTTTTCCTGGCTGGCCAGGGGAAACTCACATCTCAGAGGACCCGAAGGATTATTTACAGGGCGCTCACCAACCAAACACAACAGTCTAATTTAACCTTTCCAAGTCCTCATAAATTTTTACAGCTGGGAGCCACAGCAAGGCAAACGAATCTGTTGGTCGTTCTCGACTTCCTACCAGCCTGTGTGGCTTCTGAAACAATAACTCCTTATGAAATATCATAAATATAGATTTAAATACAGTAGAGTGAGAATGCGATTTGGCTGCTTTTTTTATGGCTTCAATTATTGTCTAATTTTATATGAGGGGGCTCCGCCGGCCTCACTCCGCACGCGGACCCGCGCCTTCCTGATAGCGTGATTAATTGTGATATAAAATAGTCCGCTTAAGAAATGTGTGTGTGTGTGCGTGTGTGTGCGCGCGCGTGTGTGCGGTATGGAGTGGTAGGAGGGCAGGGGAGAGAGTCTAGAGGCAAAGGCCCGATTTGATCTTTTCATCTTCGTTGGCCACAATTAAAACAAACCCGATTGTGGAGCGGTGCGATCCCTTTGCATAAAAACATATGGCTTTTGCTATAAAAATTATGACTGCAAAACACCGGGCCATTAATAGCGTGCGGAGTGATTTACGCGTTATTGTTCTGCCGGGCGGGCACGTGACGCGCGTGGCCAATCGGGGCGCGGGCGCCGGCAACTTATTAGGTGACTGTGCTCCCCCCCCTCCCCCGCCACCCCCCGGGTGCCACCAAGTTGTTACATGAAATCTGCAGTTTCATAATTTCCGCGGGTCGGGCCGGCCGGGCGGGCTGGCCAGGCGCGGGGCTACGGCGATGGCCACCACGGGGGCCCTGGGCAACTACTACGTGGACTCCTTCCTGCTGGGCACGGACGCGGCGGAGGAGCTGAGCGCCGCCGGCCGCTACGCGCCGGGGCCTCTGGGCCAGCCCCCACGGCAGGCGCCCGCGCTGGCCGAGCACCCCGACTTCAGCCCTTGCAGCTTCCAGTCCAAGGCGGCGGTGTTCGGCGCCTCGTGGAACCCGGTGCACGCGGCGGGCGCCAACGCCGTGCCCGCGGCCGTGTACCACCACCACCACCACCCCTACGTCCACCCCCAGGCGCCCGTGGCCGCTGCGGCGCCGGACGGCAGGTACATGCGCTCCTGGCTGGAGCCCACGCCCGGCGCGCTCTCCTTCGCGGGCTTGCCCTCCAGCCGGCCTTACGGCATTAAACCTGAACCGCTGTCGGCCAGAAGGGGTGACTGTCCCACGCTTGACACCCACACTTTGTCCCTGACTGACTATGCTTGTGGTTCTCCTCCAGTTGATAGAGAAAAACAATCCAGCGAAGGCGCCTTCTCCGAAAACAATGCTGAGAATGAGAGCGGCGGAGACAAGCCCCCCCTCGACCCCAGTAAGTGTCTCCTCCTCCTCCCTCCAGCCCCGGCCGCCGCCGCCGCCTCCACGCCGGCCTCCCGGATCTGCTTTGCTCTGGACGAGCTAGCCTCCGTCCTCGCTGAGAGCCCACGTCAGGAGCCAGAAGTTGGTGTGTGGGACACCACAGAGGAGAGGGGCTCCCCCAACTCCCCCCAGGTCCAGACAACCGTGACCAGCAGCAGGCCTGCGGGGCAGGGGGAAGGGGAGGAGGCAGCTGCAGCACGAAGGGGCGGGGCGGCCCGCGACGGCGGAGCCAGGACCCGCCGCCCCTCTCCCGGGCTGCCCAGGCCCCCCCCCCGCCCGGACACAGACACTTTGGGGGTTCTTCGAAAGCAGCGCGTCTGGACAAATCTTGTGCGCGTCTCCATGGCTCTTGGATGGCGGCAGTAACGTCAGCCAGGGCGCGCTGACCCGGGACGCGCACGGGGACCATCGGGGTCCCCCCACTTCTTGACTTGGTCCGGGAGGGCAATAGGCGTAAATCCTGCCCAAAGACGAGGGGGAGAAGGGGACACGATCAGGCCAGCAGAGTCCCGTGCGGGATGACTGCAATCAACTGGGAACGTGATCCTAGGCGGAGGGGGGGTTGGGGGGGACGATCTGCTGTCGGCCTCGCTCTCCGGGCCTCCTAGGAAGGTCAAAGAAGGAGGCGAGCGAGGGGAGAAGGGACACAAAGTCTGCGAGCAGGAGAAAGACAATCCCAAGCTTGCCCCAGGAAGACAGGGCGGCCGGCAGCCCCGCGGCCCTGGCCAAAGAGAAGAGGGATTTCAGATTTGCCCTCTCTTGTACCGGGAGGAAGACGAGGGGGAGAGAGGTGGGCGGCGGCGGGGCGGGGGAGCGAGGTTTTACTGCGGGCAATTGTAAGTGACCGTCCGTTCGTCTGTCTGCCAGGCTTCCATTGTGTAGGAGGCTGGGCCGCCTTCCCGAAAGAGTCAGTCACATTCGTTTGGCTCGGCCGAGACCGCGGAAGCTCCCTCGCACCCAGGCCAGGGTGCTTCTCCTTCTTCTAAATCCTCTCTCTTCTCTCTCTCTCTTCCCTCCCTCCCTGCCCAGATAATCCGGCGGCCAACTGGCTTCACGCGCGCTCCACGCGGAAGAAGCGCTGCCCCTACACCAAGCACCAGACGCTGGAACTGGAGAAAGAGTTCCTGTTCAACATGTACCTCACCAGGGACCGAAGGTACGAGGTGGCCCGACTGCTCAACCTCACCGAGAGGCAGGTCAAGATCTGGTTCCAGAACCGCAGGATGAAAATGAAGAAAATCAACAAAGACAGAGCAAAAGACGAGTGATGCGAGGCGGGTTGAGTTAGCAAACAGAGCAAGCTAGAGAGAAAGCGAAAGGACGGGCTGTCCCCTTCCTCTGGCCGCCCATCCCAGCCAAAGGCCCTGGCACAACGCTGCTCTAACCCCCCAGGTCTCCCCCAAATCCTGCTCAGGCTGGCTCCTAGGCTTTCGGCTTTGATGGAGGAGGTATTGTATGCTTTCCACTTTCTGTCAGGAAAATAAAATTTAAAAAAAAAAGAGGGCATTAATGCTGATGGCTGTGCGTGCTAGCTTGTATATATTAAAAAAAATCTACCTGCTCCTGACTTAAAACAAAAGAAAAAAAACTACCTTTTTATAATGCACAACTGTTGATGGCGGGCTGTAGAGTTTTAGTTATGTAGTTAATTTAATTTGCTCTTTGTTGGGGCAGATCCCTCTGCTCCTATACTTGAACACTGTGCTTTATTGTGGTAATTATGTTTTGTGACTCAAACTTCTGTGCTGGGTGAGGTACCCGTTGTTGTGTTTGTGGAAGCTAGAATTCAATTTAAACTCAGGTTGTTTGGGGTGGGAGGGGAACAGTTGCATAGAGTATAGCTCTGTAGTGGGATGTCTTTCTGTATAACTAGGCTGTTAACCTATGATTGTAAACTAGCGATAAGGATTTTCCAGTGAAATAAAATTTGAAAAAAAAAAAGGGGGGGTTAGTTCTCCAGGAAGCATAGATTCCTCTTTCGAAATGGAGACATTTTGGGCTCTAATGCTACATAGTTCTGTCTTGTCCATTGTATATATAATCTATATATCAAGAAAAAATTTTCATAATCAGATAAGCTTGAATATTGTTGTTGTTTTGGGTGTTGTTTTTTTTTTTTGCACCAGAGGAACAGCGAGGAAATTCGGAGCTATACATATGTGCAGAAGGTTACTACCTATGGTTTACTTAATTTTTAATTGGGGAAAAAATGAATGATTATTGTAATGGAGTTAATTTTATTGATAATAAATTATACACCATAAACCGCCACTGAGCTGCTGTACATTTGTATCCTTGATGAATTTTGAGTTTCCATCGGGCTGAACATACACTGTATATTTTGCAATAATTACCTCAAGGCCTACTGACCAAATTGTTGTGTTGAGATATTTAACTTTTTGCCAAATAAAATATATTGATTCTTTTCTATGCTTTTGTGGATTTGTTCTTTGTTCCTTCCCTGGCTCATGGGGATCCAGAGCAGCGTCTCTGGGTGCGGGACTGCACCAAAGTGGGGTAGAAAGAACCTCAATTTTGCTCCGTGAACCTGCTTGCAACCAGTCCAGCCAGGCCCAAACTCTCCCAACCCGGCCTGTTAGCCTGGCGGCACAAACAGTGGGAGAAAGCCGGGGAAGCCGGTGGGCGGCTGGGCGCTGTGGCCAGGTTTCAGTCCTTGTGTCTATTTTCAGAAATGGGGGGCAGCCTGGGAGGAGCTGAGGGGGGTCCCCAATATAGCAGCAGAAAGGACCACTCTCCTCATAGTGGCTCAAATTTCCCAAACCTGGGCCCACGGAGATGCCTAGGGCCTTTCGACGCCATGGAAAGTGGGGAACAGCAGTGGAAGAGTGTGGGGGGGGCAAAGGACCCGCAGCCACGGACTCTGATCAGGCGAACAGAAGGCCGACCGGCGTGGCAGGGTGGGGTAGGGGCGCAGAGCTATGGATAGAGACTTCCAAGAGATCCAAGACCTGGTCTCCCGCATCCTCGCGTCTGGCCAACCTGGCCCGCCAGGGACAATCTACATCCTACCCAGCAAGCTTGTCCCGAGCTCTGGGGCAGAGGCTCGACGGAGGAGCCCTGAAGCACCATAAAAGAAAATGAGGGCCGTTACCGTTTATGGGGTGTAAAGGGCGGTGGGGAGAATGGCCGCAACTTTGGAGGCCCACGCGCCTTCCAGATGTGGCCAGTGGGTTCGGCCTCGCTCCCCCTCCGCCCCCCTTCCCGGTCCCCTTTCTTCTCCAGCTCTTGTAACTACCTCACTCCTGGCAAAGTTCTAACACGTGAAGAAAGGGGAACCCGGTGCGGGTGATGGGGCGTCCCTCACCTCCACCCCCAACAGGCCGCCAGGTTGGGACGCCCTGTGTTGTTGCAGACAGAAGGAACTTCAAAGAATGGGCAGTAAGAGTGTGCCATAAAGGCCGGGTCTGCGAACTGTCTGGAATTCGGCCCTTAATGAGTTTACAACTGTCCAGCCCCAATTAGGGTATTCCACCAAAGCCCTTTCATTTGTTTGTTCTGTCTGCCGCCGATAAAGCGGCTGCGGAAACAGCTCTCTTTTTATGGGCTGTGCCAACTCCACAGGGTAGATTCCGGACCCCGTAAAGACCCCCAGGGACTGGGCTCTCGCCCCGCCTTTGGGACTGGAAAGTTATGCGGGCTGACTCGTAGCCCAGGATGCCGAAGTTCAGGCAGGCTGGGGCTGCTGAGCTGCAGTTCCCAGATATCACCAGCAGATGGCACTGTGGCTCCACGCAAGAGGCGCTCGAGCCGCCATCTCCCGCCACCCCGACCCTGGAAATTTCCTAAGATGTCGACTTGACGCGATTCTTTCTGGAATGGAGCCCCCAGATCGGAACGAACAGCACTCGTATATTTTCCGTGCTGCTCACGCTAAGCTGGAAAGCTATTGTGGGGCACAAGGATGCTCCGAGGGTTGGCCTAATTCTCGCCGATCGCGAAGCCCCATCCCGAGGGCGCCGCGTGGCGGAGCCGCAGCTGCCCGGTGGCTGCGGGGCTGAAGCTCCAAGAGCGGCTCCGGCTCCGGGGTCATCGTCCTCAGCCCGGCACAAGCCTCTGGGCAGCGAGACGCGCGAGGGACCCCCCGCTCACCGGTGGAAGGACACAGGGACGGAATCCGGTGGACCTGACGCCCCTACAGAGGGCGTGCCGAGGGTGCCCACCGCTGCCACGGTTCTGTGGTCCGCACCCCGGAGCTCCCTCGAAACCGGTACCTTGGTGCAGGGCCGGCCGAGTGAGCACCGCAGAGGGAGCCAGGAAGCCCGGGATTTGGCCGCTCTGAATTGAATACAGAGGACAGTAAACTTAGGCGAGTGCAAACTGGGCGACCAGCCACCGTTGGTGGCCGTCCAGTGTAAATCAGCCGGGACCTGGCCCCGCTGGGGGATTCCGTTCGATTATTCTCGAATAAATGCGCTGTTTAACAAATACATGTGCCAACAAAACACCTCCGCCCTGGAATTTTTGCTCACGTCGGAGAAGCCGCTCGCTCGCACTTCTCTAGCCACGCCATTCGCCTGCGTTTAAACGTCCAGACGCAGGAGACTAGAGGCACGGGGACCCTGATCCAAGCCCAGCTCATCTCCGAGCCTAGGTACCGGCCAGGGCCCTCGATTCCCCAGCCTCCAGCAAAGACGGCCCCGAGCCTGGGTGCGAATCGGATGAACCAGGGGTGGAAGGCGGAAGGTCTCGGAGAGAGAACAGCAGCAAACAGAGACCTCGACGCGCCCCGGGGTCCTCTGAACGCGCCGCGCCGCGCATTTATTTGGGTCGTTACAGCCTCCGCCAAGCCCACAAAATGTTTACGACCCGCATCTCCGTGCTGAACACGCTGTAAAACTAGGGGCTGGATGTTGGCTGACATCTTTCACGGGTGTTTCTCTCTCTCTCTCTCTCTCTCTGTTATACAAACACACATCTTCATTATAGTTTCGTATAAAATACACACTGTTTCACAGCATCTGATTGTAAAAAAAGGTTTAATAGCTTCCCCCCAGACACCCCGGGCCGTGTATATAAGCAGCAGATAGAAATCTCGATTGATAGAACTGCAAAGGAGTGGCCAAATACAAGATCAGCGGGCAGAGATAGCAAGTTTGACCTCTAATTACAAATAAGTGAAGTCACCCATCAGTGGCGACCTCTCCTCTCCAGCAGACACCAAGGCTGCGCAGGGGCTGGGGAGCTGCCGGGCTCAGGGAGGCAGGGCCTCCCTTGCCCTTGGCCGGCTGGCGCCAGGAGACTGCTCTCCTTCTCAGCTGCCTAAAAGCCGCTCTCTGCATCTGGCCTTCACCCAGGCAAGACCCCCACGCGGGCCACAGCTCATCTGCACGCCTTGGGGATGGGGTGGTCATCGTGTCCAGGCCTGGGACCCTGGCCCTGTCACTAGGGAGAGAACAGAGGACCAAGGGGGAATATATTTAAAGAAGCAAAACACGAGGCACCAGCCTCTTCACGGAGCTCACCGTTCACCGAGCTGTGGAGGTTCGATTTATATTGTTAGCCATGTTTAAATATTGAGGACGTTTTGGTGACCAAAAATCTTAAAACACAGGAAACAGGCTCTGCTAGTAAATAGAAAGTCAGCTCCAGAGAAATAACTAGATAGCTACGTTGATCAGAAACTGGCCTGGGAACATTTCTGTGAATATTACACACACACATACGAACACACACATTTGTGTCTTTTCAGCTACATACATAGGAGACTGATGGCTGGGAAAGTGTATGATTAAATAGGCCTTACTGATAGCCTGATTTTATCCAACGGTTTTCGTTTGCAAATCTGGCCACAGAAGGCAGGAAGAGTGAGAGAGAGAGAGAGAGACAGAGACAGAGACAGAGACAGAGACACACAGAGAGAGAGAGGCCCAGAAACGAAAGGGAGGTTTTGGTGCCCGCAGGACTGGATCCAGTTGTCTGACTTCGGCGGCCAGTATTCAGGTCTTCCTTGGCTGGGGCAAACAGGCAGCGCGTCCTGCCAGAACCACTTGGACTCGCTCAGACATGCAACGGCCAAACCTGGGCAGCACTGAGCCTGCGAGCTAGCACCCAAGTCTCCTTGGGGAGAGGAGGATTGGGAAGGGGCAGGGTGATGTCCTCCCTTCAACCCCCAAATTGCTCCTCAGATAGACAGACAGTTGGGTCGCTTCCTTGCTGAAGGCAGCTTCTACTTTAAACACCATCGCTTTCTCGGCCACTCCAGTCGCTTCAGTCTAGACAGAGGCCGCCGGCCGCTGGCCCATCTTTCTCTTCCCCTCTTGCTCTGTGTCACCCAAGGAACAATTTATTGGTCTAAAGCCATCTAATTCCACTTCTTTGATCTCCTGACTTTCTTTTTGTTTGCTTTGTCTTCCTTTAACTTTCTTAGGTTTTTATTTCCCTGTCAGATGAGGATACTTTGGGGGGAGGAGGATATTTTTCCTTCCCCTTCCCCCCTATTTCCTGTCTGAGACTCAATATCATTCCAAACCACCATAAATGGCATCCCGGATATTGTCCCCCCCCACTAGAGTTCCTTTGCGGGGGGGGGGGGGAGGGGGGGGGGGGGAGGGGGAGATAGCCCTGTGCCTACCTGTTTCCCCTCCCCATGCAAGCCCTAGCCCTTTACCGGGTACGCACTGGGGCGCCTTACATCCCAAAGAGGAGCAGGACGCCTGCCTTTTGTGCTCTCAGGACCCCCTGAGAGGGTGGGGTGAAGGAGAGCAGCCCAGACCCTCTGAACGTGGAGAAGTAATGCTTTGTACGCAAGGAACCAAACTCTATAATTTAGAGGAGAATTTCCGGGGCAATTGCATTGTGAGGTTGGGGTTTATGGTGTGCAATCGAGTTGGGCAGTAAAAGGTAGTTAGGAGTCCAGTGTAGCTGAGTAGTTGACAAAGCGTTTAGGGGATGGGTTCCCCGCAGTCTTCTTCCACCGAGCCTAGGGCAGCGCGAGTTTCAGTTGGTCCAACATCACAGCCCAGCCCAAGGCCTGCGAAGGTAGGTGTCCCACGATGGGGGGCTGGCTGGGAAAGAATAAAACTGCTCTGCTCTCCGTTCTCTTGTGAGCCAGTACAGTTGGAAAGGCGACCAGTAATCAGACTGAGGTGGCCTTTGGAGAGGGCTTTCCTATTTGTTTTGGTTTTCTCTGAAAGGAAAGCTGGTCCAGAGTGGCTGCACTCCCGCAGCCATCCGGGATCTCCCCTCTCTCCTCTCCAAACGGGCTAGAAAGCGCCTATTGCTCTTGGACACCCAGACCTACAAGGTGAAGGTACATAGCGGGGTATAGGTTTCAGGATGCCGGAAACCTCGAAGCAAGGAAGGCAGGGTTTAAAGGGAAGGTGCCTGGAAAGGTGAGGGAGCCCGAGCTTCTTCAAGGGTGGACGGTGGGGAGGACAAAGGAGTCCTAAACTGCGGGCTGAGCTGCGGAAGGCCAGCCAGGTGCCCAGGAGCGATTGCACAGGGCCTGTATGCACGCAGGGGCCTGGGGGAGGGAGAGGAACCCCATGTTAATAAATCTGTTGGCAAATGAGGCTCATTAATAGATAAACATTTCACTGCTTCCTTTAGGGCGGATAAACAGTGCGCGGCCGATTAAGGAAAGGAAGCTGCGAGACGTTGAGTTTATTCGAACCACATGGCTGCAGCTTGCGGTGTGCTGTTCCCTCCGCTAGAAGAGCCCCTGCGCCTGCCGGGGCCGGCTCTTCAGTCTGGCCAAGAGTCAAGCTGGGGGGTGGACAGACCTGCGTCCCGCACCCCCAAGGCCACGGCAGAGCCGACGGATGTGTGGGGCGCACCACCCCTTCGGGGGCGCTGGGTCCCCAGACGGATGGAACGGGAAGATCCACACATAGGATTTGGGGTTCACCACCGGCTATGAGGCACTGTGCTGGGCGGACCCTGCCCGGGTGTGTGCAGGCTCCGGCGCCAGGGTTAGCGGGCACACGGGACGATTGCGCGGAGCCTCGGGGCGCTCTTGCCCTAGGGCACCGCAGGCTCCCCGGGCGCGGGCAGATCCACCGGCCGCATCTTTGAGCCTCTTCCCCTTCCATTCTAGGCTGTCGCGGGCCCCGCCGAGCGAGACCACCTGTGAGGGCTGCTGAGATTGGCGGAGGCGGTCATGTGGGCGGTCACGTGCTGCGGCGAGCTCCTTCCAAAAGAAAATGGGGTTTGGTGTAAATCTGGGGGTGTAATGTTATCATATATCACGCTACCTCGTAAAACCGACACTGAAAGCTGCCGGACAACAAATCACAGGTCAAAATTATGAGTTCTTCGTATTATGTGAACGCGCTTTTTAGCAAATATACGGCGGGGGCTTCTCTGTTCCAAAATGCCGAGCCGACTTCTTGCTCCTTTGCGCCCAACTCGCAGAGAAGCGGCTACGGGGCGGGCGCGGGCGCCTTCGCCTCCACGGTGCCGGGCTTGTACAATGTCAACAGCCCCCTCTATCAGAGCCCTTTCGCGTCGGGCTATGGCCTGAGTGCCGATGCCTACGGCAACCTGTCCTGCGCCTCCTACGACCAAAACATCCCCGGGCTCTGCAGTGACCTCGCCAAAGGCGCCTGCGACCAGGCGGACGAGGGCGCGCTGCGCGGCCCGGCCGAGGCGAATTTCCGCATCTACCCTTGGATGCGGTCTTCAGGTAGGCGCCGCGGCTGGGCGGGTTGGGGCCGGCGGCCGGCCGGGAGCGGAGGGGGGAGCCGGGAGCCCCGGAGCGCGGAGAGCCGCAGCCGCCCCGGGAGTGGGAGGCCGGGGAGATTGGAGCCTGGAGGCCCCCTGGACTCCCGGCGGCGCTGCCTTTCTGGTTTTAATTAGAGCTGAGGCGCCATTGCGTGGAGAACCCCTAGCATTGTATGTAAATGAGGCTCATAAAACTTTTTATGGCCCAATTAATGGGTTGATCCTCGTAAATTTATTTAACGCCATTTGCCTTGGAATTTTAACATTAAGTTTATTCCGTGGATTTCCCCTCCTCCCTCTACGCTCTCTCTCTCTCTCTCCCCCCGTCTCTCCCCCTCTCTCTCTTTCTTCCTCTTCTCTCTCCTTTCCCTTCCTTTCCTTTCCTTTCCTTTCCTTGCTCTTCCTTTCCGCCTGGCTCTTCTTTCTCAAAAGCAAAGAGAACCAAGCCCTTTGGGGCCCCTCACCTACCCCTGAGCCAGGAGCCATTTCAGGACAGGCATAAGGATGGAATGGCACCCGGGGTGCTTCTAGGAAAGGGGGGGTTGAGGCTGCTGGAGAGGGTCGCCCACTCGTCTAGCAAGGCTGGGTAGCGGCTGGACTCGCCTTTGAATGGCAAAAGAGCAGCGTCTCCCACTTGCCCACACTCTATATTTACAATTTGCCTTTGTCAGGGAGATAGGAGACATTGTGGAAGCGTAGCCGGCTGGAAAGGTCAGTTGTAAAGTTGGGATTCTGAGCCAAAGCGCCTAACAGCACTGCCTGCAAGTCTGGCACTGTAGTTCCGGTCTTCTGCTAACACTTCCCTCTTCCTGCACCCCGGAATAGCTAGGGTAAGGGGTGCAGGGTTGAAGGGGGTGTGACTGGATCTGGTAAGGGAAAAGGGACCAGGGTCTGGAACATCGGGCCTGACAAATACACTCTTCCCTTCATGTTCATGTGTCTGTGTGTCCAAATTTCTACTCTCAGGACCCGACAGGAAGCGGGGCCGCCAGACCTACACTCGCTACCAGACTCTGGAGCTGGAGAAGGAATTCCACTTCAACCGCTACCTGACCCGGCGCCGCCGCATCGAAATCGCCCATGCGCTCTGCCTCACCGAGCGCCAGATCAAGATCTGGTTCCAGAACCGCCGCATGAAGTGGAAGAAAGAACATAAAGACGACAGTCCAGCCCCCACTGCAGCCCCTGAGGGCACCGCCGTGCCCTCGGCTGCCAGCACTGCCGCCGCCGCCGCCGCCACGGCTGACAAGGCCGAAGAGGAGGAGGAGGATGAAGAAGAGGACGACGAGGAGGAGGAATAAGGGGCCTATTCTGGGCCCCTATCCCCTGCCCTGGACAGTCGGAAAAGAGTCTTTAAGAGACTCACTGGTTTTATTTACAAAAAAAAATATGGGAAATAAAAAGAAAATGTAAAAAAAAAATTCCAAGTCCCCAACCACAAACCCACCCCATCCCCACCCCATCACGCACTCTAGCTCCCAACTTTTCTGGACTGAGGCGGCTGGAGATTAGATCGCCTTGGGGATCCCCTCTGTTTCTGAGGATCCCACTAGATACCCCCAACCCCAGGCCAGTGCTGTTCACTGGCACAGCCAAAATACTACCTAGCACAGGCCTCCTTGAGAGGCAGCCCCAAACTACCTATGGGCCCAGCCCTAGTGGGCCTCCACTCCCAGGAAGCCCCCCCCCCACTGTGTCCCAACACTGGCAGATACCTAGCACCACCCTGCATACCTGCAAGAACAGGATTCTTTTCAGTACTACCTACTAGCCCCAAACTACCTATTTTGTGCTGGCTAGCTTGCCTGCTTTTTTGGTGCTGGCCTTCTGAGGCCAGGCCAGGCCAGGCCCCTGAGCTTCCCGGGGACAGCCTTTGAGGTCAAGGCACTGGGGTCCAGGGACCAGAGCAATGGCTTCTATTTAAATTGAAAAATAATATATTTATTCCAAAGCATACTAAATGCTGCAACCTAGAATCCCTCTTTTTCTGGCTTGGCCACCCCCAAGTTCAGGTCCAACACACCCACTTCTGGAGAGGAGCATTCCTGAGCGGCAGACCTCTGGGTTCATTTCTGCTTTGTAGGATTTCAGAGCTGCTCTCAGCCTAACGGTCCCCTCCCCTGTCCTTGCGTCCTACTGGTCAGCCATGTCAAATATGTGTACCCTGACTTTTCCTACAATGGCAAATACTGTATATTTGAACAAGATTCCCCCCCCCCCTTGTTTCTCTAGTCTCGGAGCTCATTTGTAAAGCAATGTTTTGACTTGGGGAGGATGTGTTCATTGGGTGACTTTGTAGCATGGTGTGTTGTCTTGAACTAACTCTGTAGTGGGTGGGGAGGTCCCTAAACCCTCCCAGATGCCCTTCATCTCCTGTGTTGTCCTGTGTCCCCCTTAGCTCCAGCCTGGGGTTCAGGGAAGGCATGCTTCCCAGCCCAGCTAATCATGTTTTATGTAACAAAAATAAAGATGCTTGGTGACAAAGAAATGTGGACTGCTTTATCCAGAGGGACCAGGGAGAGGGAGGTGACCCTAGCTCAGCACAAGCCTGGCTGTCTGTGTGCCTAGGACTATTCTGGGGTCCAAGTGTTGGGTGTCCATGTACTTCTGTGTGTGCTGGTCACGTTAGATACATACATATGTATAAATACACATACATACATGCATATCTAATATATGGATTTGTCTGGGTATGTTGGTGCCTATTTTGTATGTATGAGTTCCTGTGTGTGCTTGCTTATATTTTTGCACCATTTCATAGCTGTATAATTCCATATCCATAATTGTATGTGTATCTAGTCTCCATAATAGTGTGCATTTATTTCTATGTCCATAATTGGGTGGATGTGTTTCTGTGTGTCCATAATGACACGTTTTGGTGTCTGTAATTGAGTGTTATGCATTTCCCTGTGTCCATAATTGTAGATGTGCTCTTGAATTTGTAGGGATTTTTTTGTCTGGTCATTGTGTGCGCACAAACATCTAGATCCCTTGAAAACAAAATCTTTGGTAGATATATTTTATCAGTCATTTTTCAAAATATCCTCCATGTGCCCCATGGGCGAATCCCAAATCCACCCTTTCCTCTAAGGCCGTAGAGTGGTCTGTGAAAGGGGCATTACCTACCCTGCCACGCATTCCGGATTCCGCATGCGCCTTGAACCCAGCCCTGGGCTAGGAAATAGGATTCAGGGGTCCCTGCGGCAGCACCCTCCACTCCGCCCTCAGAGGAGGCAAGGGCGCCCCAGGCCTCTGAACCGCAGCAGAGAGGTTCTGGGAGGAGCAGGAGCCCCAAATTCAGCTTTGCAGCATGGGCATAGAAGTCTGGGTGCGGGGAGGAGGAGCGGGTCGGAAGGGGCCAAAGGCGAGGGGTATCCCGAGCTTGGCCAGAGCAGACCCCCCCATTCCTATGTCCGGCCTGGTTTGGGCTAGCTTCTTAGGGCTCTTTTTAAAATAAAACCTGGCCCAAAAGGGTCGGTAAAAGCTGCGGCCCCAAATCGGGGCGGCCTCGGTGGTAAGATGGCGCCGGTGTAAGAGCTGCCTCCTCTCAGTGATGGGGAAAGGGTCATAAATCCGTTGTTGTTTATGAAAATTTACAACTTTGCAATACAACTTTATGAGTTGTTCGGCCCTTCCATTGGCCGCTGTCGGTCATGTGGATGGGAACCGTGAACATGAACTTTTTTATAATTTCCCTTGCGAGAATAGAGCCGCATTCTTTTGCTCCGCTCCGTCCTGCGTGCTTCGGAGCTCTGCCTTCCAGCCCGGCGGGGCTGAGCTTTGTCCGGCGATGGCGACCGAGCAGAAGCCCAGCCCCAGCCCGGCCGGGCCGCTCCTGCTGGAGGTGGGGCGCGTCCAGTGGCAGGCGCCTCGGCGGCGGCCGCTTTACAACTCGCAACCTGGCTCAAGTCCTGCGTCCTCTGGCACCGAGCAGGAGGAAAATTCATCTCCCCGGCTGCACGAGCGACAGCTGTCAGAGGGACTGGAGCTTCCGGGAGCCTCCATCTGCAGGTGAGACATGTGGGAAAGGAGACAGGAGCAAAGGTAGTGAGGTGCCACGGAGGTGGATGAGGGCATCCAAGATGACTTTGAAGGGGGTCATAGTCAACCTCACCCATACCCCCCCAGGGTCACCCTGGCACCCCCCCCATTCACTTCCTCACCCGCGCCCACACGCACGCGCTTGCGCGCGCGCGCACACACACACACATCACCATCATCACCACCACCTATACAACTCCCTCCCCCCCCCTCCCTGGCTCACCGTGGCTGTAAAAGCCCGCCTTCCCTCCGTGGCACAGCGCCCGCCTGGGCACAGGGTAAGCAGCTAGCGAGTCGTGCGTCCCTCAATCCCTATCAAGGGAATCTCCAAGGGGAGCCATGCCGCACGCTGCGTTCCCTGCCAGTTTCTTTCTTGGGTTTGGATTTTTTTTCCCCCACCCCGGTAGAGTTTGTTTTGTTTTGTTTTTCATCATGGTGCGATTCGTTTGACTAAATTCTCCAACCACCGGAGACAAGTTCCCGACCTAGGGACATGGAAAGAGGTGAGGGCAAAGCGAGTTTAGCCCACAAGCGGCTTAGCATGAGCAGCAGCACAGTGTTTTCTAGTCGGTGGGAAATTGGTGTCCTCTGAGAATGAGGAAAAGAACCAAACAAAAACTTACTAATTCCGCCAGACTTCTCCCCCTGATGGTGTCCCTCCGCCCGGGTTTCCGACAAGATGGGTGCCTGGAGCTCTGGGAGGAGCAATAGGTGCTGGCCGGCTTCTGTATGGGAGGAGAGGATGGGGTTAATCGAGGGTTGCTCGGTGAGGTGTGTTGGTGCCGTGGACGGCGGTGGTTTAGGGGTGGCTGACAGGGCCTGTAGCTCGGGCTGAAGGAAGGATGCAAACCGAGTCTGGGTAATAAGGGGACCACCTCCCTCACCCACTTCAGAGGCAGAGAGCTGGCATCCATTCCTCCCCCCAACTCCTGCCAGCCGGGAGAGGGCCGCGGCTTTAGCCAGGGGGAGGCACTGGTGGTCAGCTGGCCTGGTGTGGCTTTGTGCAGCGCGGTGGCACGAATTGTGGCTCGTCCTGAGTGTGCATCTGATCAGATTTGCCCCCCACCCCGCCCCCCGGAGCTCCTGGGATGGCAACAAAAAATGGAATCTGAGGTTCTGGGCTCGAGTTCCTTCTGTTTGTTTAGGTTTTGTTTGTTGTGGTTTCCCTGTGTTGAGATACTATCTTGGTATCTATTCGCTCATTAACAAGGGCCTAGAGATGTTTGGGACGTCCGTTGGCGAGGTGGGTGCTCTCGGGGCAGATAAAGCGGCGCATTTGCCTCCTAGGGCCGCTGGCTGCCTACTGCGGCTGCCGTGGGCAGATTATTTATGGCTAACGAGCGGAGTGCTCGCTGCTGCCACGCAGTGGCCGATGCCGGGACGGGCGCCAGGCGCAGCCCGCCTCTTACACCCTGGCGCGATTGCTGTCCCGGCCCCTCACAGATTCCCCAGAAAGCAGGGGAGAGGGGCACGGAAGGGAATCCGAGAAGCCGTCTCCCACGGTCTCTTTGGCTTGAAGACCTCCCCGCCTCCGCCGCCCCTGACAGGAGCGGGACGCCGGAATAGACTCGGGTTCTCCTATCACTCCCACCCCAGCACCATGGAGACTGGTTGCGTAGGCCGCCTGGCATATCATGACTGCTTCTGTCCAAACTAGGCGTCCCATGGCGCCCTGGGGGCGCGCGCCATTTGGGGGTAATGCACTGGTCTGGGGATTCTGGCCTCGGAAAGGCCACTTCATGGTCCTGAGGCCTGCAGGCCTGACTGGCCCTGAGGAAGATGACTATGGCTAACAAGGCCGGCTTTGGCTCCAGGCGAAGACCTGATTGGCACAGCAGAGGCCACACCTGTGTGCTTTGGGTTTCTGCCTGGGCTACCGCTTTGATGGGACAGAGGTGGGCCTTCCATTTCCCACACATACAAATCGGCAGGCCATCTTGAGGCTGGCCGACAAGGAGAAGCTCAATGGGCAGCCCAGAACAGGGCAGACTGTGTGGCCCTACTCACCACTCTTCCTCCCCTGGAGAAAAGCTGAAAGGTAAGTCAGCTTTCCATGCGGCTTTGACAGAAGAGAATGACTTGAGGTGAACGTTCTCATCATGTCAGGAGAGGGTCTATGGAGGGTGTGGGGCTGGTTCTCTCCTGAATGGGTCGGTCCGTTGTTCTTTTTTGCTCACTGGCTAAGTCTTTCTCGCTCTAGGTTATGTGTGTGTGTGTGTGTGTTTTGTGTGTGTGTGTGTGTGTGTGTGTGTATCTTCAACTATATATGGTTGTAGAGATAAACTGGTTGGCTGCCAACATAAATGTATCCTAATCTTGGCTAGCCTGTAAAGATTTCAATCTAATATATTTTTCCTATTTTAGTGGTGACAGGAGCTAAACATACATTTTCTGGCTCTTAGCTGAGAAATCAAATTCTCTCATTGGCTGAGACAATTATTAGGTTTGGAATCCAGCTCAAAACATAATAATAGTAGTAAACTGCCAGCAGATATGAAGGAATCAAAGAGAAATTATAAATGTAAACATTGATCAACATCTGCAAAATGGTTATTTTCATTTCAAAGAATAATGTGCTTGAACTCACTGCCATCTGATGATTTTAAGAAACAATCACCCAAACACAATCTTCATCAAAACAGCTTTTTAAGATAAAAAAAAAAATCTCCCCTCCCCGCCTTTGTGTGTGTGTGTGTGGTTGTTCTTAGGTCTTCATTTTTACCTATTGAATCTTTCCCCTGGGTAAATTTGTGAGACATGTCCATTTTCATCCTCTCCGGAATGAACTTTCTTTATATGTAAAGAAAGAACGTTCCCCAGGGTTGGACTGATTAAGGGTGAGGCACAAGGTTTCCCAAAGTCTTTGAGGTTACCTTCCTGGGCTGAGTGGAGGCCAAACTTAGGCAAGTCCTTTTCCAATTTTCTCCCCATTGGAGGGAGGTAGATATGGGAAAATAAAAGCAAGAAAGAGATTAAAGGAGTTATTTCCAGATCCTTACAATACTATTACCAATTACCACCCCCCTCCAAGTCCTGAGCCACCTCAGGACTGAGTCTGCATTGGCCAGGGTTTTTTTTTTTAACAGATCCTTGTAAGCAGCCTCCTGCAATCCAACCAAATCACATCGTCTTTCTCCACCTTCCACAGAATTGAGGATTTAAAAGCTAATTCAAGGGATTTTTACAAGCCTAACAAATACAGTCATAAAAATGCCATTGGCTTAATATCACATTTTACAAAACGCTGTGGGTCGGTGCACTTTAAAAGTCAACTATCTCAAAGGCACACCTCTTAGGCAAGAGAGTGCAGACCAAGCCAGGCCTCTTTTTTTTTTTTCGTGTCCTGTCTGCATGTCAATCATACTGTTCTGGAGCGAGTGAGATGACTATTCGAGGTTCTGGAGCTACCAGGGTTAGAAGTCTCCGAAATAGTCAGTAGTGGCAGGAAAGAGGACACACCCCGTGACTGCAGGCCTTGGAGGTCCGCGGACCAAGCCTGTTGGTTATCCTACGGCCTTGGGCCCCAGCGAGCTGTTCATTGTGCCCGGCTTGGCCAGGGGCCCTGCAACCCCTGTGCCTCTGGAATGATGATCGAGTCTGCATCTGGATGTTTGAAATGTCTCAGTTCTGAGCGGATCCGGTGGAGAGGAGGGTCGTGGGGCGCGCGGCCAGAGGAGCAGTTTCTCATCCATGCTTCTCCCAGTCTCCTAGCGGTTCCGTTGCTGTAGGTTCTTGCTTGTTGAAACCAGTGGGATCGGGCCTCTCCATTCCTGGGTTCATAGACAGCCCGCGGTGCGCAGCTGGTGAGGGTGCTTGCTTGGAGAAGAGGCGGTTGCAGGGAGGTGCGTCAGTACTCCAACAAGAAGTGTACTTGAGAGGAAGCGTCGGCAAAGGGAGCCTGTTTGGCCTGCTCCTGGTCAGCGTGAAGTGACCCTTCAGCTCTGGGCTGCCAAGCCCAGACCTCTGAGAGGAATGGGAAGGAAAGAAAAAGGGGGTGCACCGATCCCCAGTATAGGGGTGAAAAGCAGAGAGAGAGAGAAAGTGCGAGGCTGTTTAGAGCCTCTTCTCCAGCTCAATAACCTCTACCCACGAGTAAGAGAGTGCGAGGGGAGGGGCAATTCGGGGCCATTCCTGGAGTGCCGGCCGGGAGGAGCAAAGCCAGCCTCGTCACCGCCCCTCCTGGCGTGGGATTGTCAGGTTTCCTGTTTGGAAGAAGCACAAGAAGAAGAAGAAGAGGGGGGGAAAGAAAGAGAGAGAGAGAAAAAAAAACAGCAAAGTCCAACCAGGCAAAAAGGGGAGGAGGATAGAGTGGGGCCTGGTCCGGCCTTTCAGCAGCCAGTGCTGCTACCCCGATGTGGCTGCCTGCGCCTCCCCGGGCCCGTGCCCGCTCCTGGCATGGGGGTGGGGGGAGCCGGGCCGAAGGCTGTGTGCACCCATTAATCTGCCGGGCGGGCGGGCGGCGGCGGCGGCGGGCGGGCTGGGGGCTGTTTGTAACTTTGCTGCCTCGGTCGCCGCGGTCCCCGGGGAGCGGGCTCCGGCGCTCGCTCCCATTGGCCGCCGCCGCGTCAGCTGGTGCGATTTGCTGCTGTCGCTTTTGGCGTTCGGCCATCCAGAAACAAACCAGTTCGATGACTACTAATAGTTATAGCCAGATGTACTAATACACAACAAATCACAGTCCTGCAGAGGGGCGCGCAAATGAGTTCCTATTTTGTGAATCCCACTTTCCCCGGGAGCCTGCCCAGCGGCCAGGACTCCTTCTTGGGCCAGCTGCCCCTCTACCCGGCCAGCTATGACGCTTTGAGGCCATTCCCGGCCTCCTACGGGGCGTCGAGCCTCCCGGACAAGACGTACACCTCACCTTGTTTCTACCAACAGTCCAACTCGGTCCTGGCCTGCAACCGGGCATCCTACGAGTACGGGGCCTCGTGTTTCTATTCTGATAAGGACCTCAGTGGCGCCTCGCCCTCGGGCAGTGGCAAACAGAGGGGCCCCGGGGACTACCTGCACTTTTCTCCCGAGCAGCAATACAAACCCGACAGCAGCAGCGTGCAGGGCAAAGCCCTCCAGGAGGAAGGCACCGACCGGAAGTACACGAGCCCTGTTTACCCCTGGATGCAGCGGATGAACTCCTGCGCTGGTAAGGCATTTCCCTGCACCCCCACCCCCAGCCAAGACAGTGGAGGGAGAAGGGAAAGGAGGCAGGCAAGCAAGGACAAGGAGGAGGAGACAGAAAGGAGGCAGAGAAAGAAAGCAAAGAATGGCAAAAAAAAAAAATTCCTGGGCTTTTAAGATTTTTTTTTAAGGAAAAAACAAAAACAACAACACCCAATCCCAATGGGGCACTTAGGCCAAAACAGAGGAAAGACCGAGTAATAAGGTCCATGGTAAGGTGACACTTTAGAGGAAGGTGGGCAGATCACTGCCAGGCTACCTGAAACTCAGATGGGGGTGACCTGAAGGGAGGGAGAGACTGCCCAGTCTGTACCCCTGCAGCACCCTACTGAAGTTCCTAAGCTGGAGGGGCTCCAACACTTTGCAAGAGATAACTTCCTTTGCCTCTCAAGTCTCTTTCTGAGGGGGGGGATAGACCCCATTTGGCCTCTTCTAGTGTCTCCCCAAAGCCTTGGAGGGCCACCTCCCCAAGCCAGAGGATTTCTTTCTCTCTCTCTCTCTCTCTTTCTCTCCTCCCTCCTCTCCTCCCCCTTCCACTAAACTACTCAATAACTTCTGCTTCTTTCTGAGCCCCTACCTGAGTTTCACACCTGGCTTAGAGCACTTCTTCCATCCTTGGCATCCAAGCAGAAAGCTCAGCTCTGTCCTACATTGCCAGAAACCTGGCCTATGGATCCCTTTCTTCATTTCTGGTTCCCAAAGACTCTACAGGGAACACCCCCCCCATTTCAAAACTTAACTGTTTTATTTTAAAATCCACTTTTTCTCCATGGAGCTGTTTTTATTTCAGATGGATCATATCATTGGGGAGAATTTTGAGAGGACTGATCATATTTAACTGCCCACCCCTTCAAACATCCTGACATGGAAAGGGCCCAGTAGCATTCCTCACAGAGATCAACCTATGATTTCAGAGTTTGCATGGCTCTCAGGATTCCAGAGCACTCATCCTCAGACAAATACACCCTTCACCTTCAAAAATAGGACTTTATGAGCCCAAATTTAAAAGGCCCATTCTGTCACTTTGCTTGCAGTGGGCTTCTTACAAGCCAGACTTTTTTTTTAAGCAAAAACTTCCCATCCCACGTCGTTTTAGGTGGGAAAATACCTTGCATGCTATGAAATACTCTTCACTATCCAGCCACCTTCAGCCCCAGAAGTGGTGGGAGAGGCTGGAAGGGAGGCAGGGCAACTTCCAACCCAGAGGCCCCGGTAGGCTAGTGGGAGGTGTGGGACTGACTGGTTCGGCCTAGCTTACCAGCGCCCCGGGCCCTTTCTGCCTGCAGGTGCTGTGTATGGGAGTCACGGGCGCCGAGGCCGTCAGACCTACACTCGCTACCAGACCCTGGAGCTGGAGAAGGAATTCCACTTCAACCGCTACCTGACCCGGCGCCGCCGCATCGAAATCGCCAATGCGCTCTGCCTCACCGAGCGCCAGATCAAGATCTGGTTCCAGAACCGCCGCATGAAGTGGAAAAAGGAAAATAAACTCATCAATTCCACGCAGCCCAGCGGGGAGGACTCTGAGGCAAAGGCGGGCGAGTAGATGCCTGGCCAGGCACCAGGACAGCACTGCAACCTCCTCTGGCTTTGCCCCGTTGCCCTTGCCTGCTCCCCAACTTTTCTCCCTGCCTACTCCCATCGGGGCTTCCGCAGTTTCAAGGGCGCCCGGTGCTTTGCCATCGCCTGAGCATTTTCTTATTACAACAAACAAACAAAACCTAAACACACCCAATCTCGTCTCGGCGGTGGAGCAGACGCACTGTACACACACAGGCCCTCTCCCCAAGGCTGCACAAGCCAGCTAGTTGTCCCTGGGTGCGCCCCGAATTCGTCCTGGTTCCTGTGTGTTTAGTGCCAATGTGCTCCCTGGAGCTCAGAATTGAGGGGGGGGGGGAGGGAAGGAAGATCCCCTCCCCCCGGCCGAGTCCTCTCTGGTATCGGGGCGTCTCCACCAACCTCAATCCCTGGCCACTAAGTTCGGAAGGGCATCACCAAATCATTTCTGGCTACTAGAAAGAGAGGGCCTAAGGGATTGGGGCCCAACCTCTCAGGCCAACCCTTGAACAAGAAGAAGCTCGGGGAACAAAGGGGGCCCCGACATAGCTGAGCCTTAGCCCGCGCGCGCGCGCGCGCGGAACCGTCCGTGGAAAAGCAGCAGCCTGGGCCGAGGCAAGCCAACCTGGGCACGGGTGGAATATTGCAGCCCCGGAGCGACGGGGTTCCTGCAGGCTCCCAGCTCCCGTTCCCGCTCCCGGCCTCCGACAGCACCGGCGCCGCCACCGAACAGTTTTCTGGACCCAACGAGGGGGCCCAGGGCCATGGGAGCCGCAAAGGTCCTGGCTTCCAGACCTGCCTGGGGCGCCTGCGACTCCGGGCCTCTAGTGGGGAGACTCTCATTGCCTCTCAGCTGTATTTGTGATTTCCTTTCGTCCTTCGGAGCTCAGAAGAACAACTGCGGAGATACTACGCACTGCCACGCAATGATTCCATTCTCTCCCTCAGTTTACTCCTGGAGGTCTAAGCAAGACCCCAATAACTCAGCCGACGGATCCCCAGCCCCCAAGCAGCCTTGGTGGCTGCGAGGAGCCTGGGCCCACGCGCCTGGCTCACCCAGAACCCTCCGACTTGGGGCCCGGCTGGCTGGAGGAGAGGGACCCGTTGGTGAAGATTCTCCAAGCTGGAGATATAAGCAAATCGAGTAGCAAACTACTGACAGCCAAACCATCTTCACAAGAAAGAAAAATCGGCTCCGGTTCTAAAAGTGTGTGGGATTTTTGACCTTGTCTTGGAGAAACACGACACAAAAGCTATCTTTAATAGACGCCTGTCGTTGAAGAGCGGCAGGGACACTGACCCTCGTGCGTTCGCAAAAAACAGAGCCTTAATTGTGGCTGCTGTTGTGGGCAGGATTTATCTCTCCATTTGGGTAAATGGCCTCCTCCCCTCTCCGAAGGGAGAGCGATATCTGTATTTTCAAAATTCAGAGCTGCAGGCAGAACGGGCAGAATCTACCCCAACCTCGACACAAAAATAAGAAGGGTTGCAAAGAGCAGAAATAAAGTTGTAAATAAATTCCAAGTCACCACCTCCCCCTAATTCTCTGCATCCTTGCCGGGCGCGCGATCGGCAGCTGACGGCCTCACAATTGGTACATCCTAATGGAACTGCGAGGGAAATGCAATAATTTTGCCATAATGGGCTGTAACCTCAATTCGACCCCGGCCCTTGCAGCCCGGGGTCGGAAGCGGAGCGATGCACCCTGCCTCCAGCGGGTGGCGCTCGAGTCCGACTGAACGGCGGCGGCGGGTGGCGGGCACGCGCCCGGGGCGCGCGCGCCACCCCTCTCGCCTCCACCCAACTCCCCCATTAGTGCACGAGTTTACCTCTAGAGGTCATCAGGCAGGATTTACGACTGGACAACAAAAGCACGTGATTCGAAGTCGTACCCCATATTTGGGTGCCTACGTAGGAGGGAACCAAGTACATGTCCCAGTCATTTCCATAATTCATCATAAATTGTGCAAGGGTGCTATAGACGCACAAACGACCGCGAGCCACAAATCAAGCACACATATCAAAAAACAAATGAGCTCTTATTTTGTAAACTCATTTTGCGGTCGCTATCCAAATGGCCCGGACTACCAGTTGCATAATTATGGAGATCATAGTTCCGTGAGCGAGCAATTCAGGGACTCGGCGAGCATGCACTCCGGCAGGTACGGCTACGGCTACAATGGCATGGATCTCAGCGTCGGCCGCTCGGGCTCTGGCCACTTTGGCTCCGGGGAGCGCGCCCGCAGCTACGCGGCCGGCGCCAGCGCGGCGCCCGCCGAGCCCAGGTACAGCCAGCCGGCCACGTCCACGCACTCGCCTCCGCCCGACCCGCTGCCCTGCTCTGCCGTGGCCCCTTCGCCCGGCAGCGACAGCCATCACGGCGGGAAAAACTCCCTGGGCAACTCCAGCGGCGCCTCGGCCAACGCCAGCGGCACCCACATCAGCAGCAGAGAGGGGGTTGGCACGGCGTCCGGAGCCGAGGAGGACGCCCCCGCCAGCAGCGAGCAGGCGAGCGCGCAGAGCGAGCCGAGCCCGGCGCCGCCCGCGCAGCCCCAGATCTACCCCTGGATGCGCAAGCTGCACATAAGTCATGGTAAAGCCAGCCTTTTTCTAAATCCACGCGTGGTCGGGGGTGCGGCGCTCGGTCCCTCTCTGTCCTCTGCAGCCCTGTCTCCCCGGGTCTCTCCCAGCCCTGCGCAGCCTCTCCCTTGCCGTTCTTCCTGCCCTGCCTTCCCCCTTCCCTTTTCTCGTCTCCGCTGCACCCTGAGCTGCTCGAAAAACAGTTGAGGGGGGGTGGGGTAGGAGGGAAACGGGCTGCCGGGCCAGGCAAGTTGAGTCGATGTAAGGGGGAGAAAGGAAAGAATTCGTCTTGAACCCCAGCGCCTCGGAATGCGCTCCCGGGTCAGGCCAGCCAAGCAGGGCGCAGAGAGGTAGAGGATGGCAGTAGGGGCCGTGAATCGGGCTTGTCAGGGTGGATAATTTATGAGGAGAGCTACGCTGGGGAAACAGCGTTACTAATTAGAGCCCCCGAAAAAGGGGGCTTGGGGGGGAATAATCGGGGAAGAGAGCCGGCGGGATTCTGAAGTTTGGGGACAGGAGACAGAGAGAGAAAGAAAGAGAGATCGAGACAGAGAGGAGAAAAAGAAAGCTGGCGCCCCAAGCTTAAGGCTGGAACAGGAGGTTGGCGGTGGGGCTGGAACTTTAAGGGGAGAGCGACCTGGAGGCCACTTGAGCACCCAGAAAAGGGGTGTGCTTCGGTGGGTTTGTTGGCAGCCCTAGAGGGCTGTGTCCCCCGCTCCGGGCAACCGGGGCAGGGCCAAGGTGTGGGGGGGGGGACGCGAGAGAGTGAGGAAAAGCTAGGCAAGTCCTTGGGAACACGGGTTCCAACCTCAGCTGGGCCGATTGTTTCCAGAGTCCGAATTGTATTGTTTTCTCTCTAGAAAGGAAGAGGGAAGGAAATTCGGGAGGGGTGGGTGGGCTGAGAGGGAGGACTTGTTGAGCCTGTCTCCTGGGTTGCTGCTCAGGACCCTGGCATGTCCAGCTGGCGAACTTTGGGTGCCAGGGAGCTGAGGAGTTGGTGGCTAAACCAGTGACTTTTCTATGTTGCAGACAACATAGGCGGCCCAGAAGGCAAAAGGGCCCGGACGGCCTACACCCGCTACCAGACCCTAGAGCTGGAGAAGGAGTTCCACTTCAACCGCTACCTGACCCGCCGAAGAAGGATTGAAATAGCACATGCTCTTTGCCTCTCCGAGAGACAAATTAAAATCTGGTTCCAAAACCGGAGAATGAAGTGGAAAAAAGATAATAAGCTGAAAAGCATGAGCATGGCGGCGGCGGGAGGGGCCTTCCGCCCTTGAGTATTTGAGCGTTGAAAGTACTGAGCAATCTAAGCGGATCCCGCAATAGTGTCAGTACTAAGGTGACTTTCTGAAACTCCCTTGTGTTCCTTCTGTGAAGAAGCCCTGTTCTCGTTGCCCTAATTCATCTTTTAATCATGAGCCTGTTTATTGCCATTATAGCGCCTGTATAAGTAGATCTGCTTTCTGTTCATCTCTTTGTCCTGAATGGCTTTGTCTTGAAAAAAAAATAGATGTTTTAACTTATTTATATGAAGCAAGCTGTGTTACTTGAAGTAACTATAACAAAAAAAGAAAAGAGAAAAAAAACACAAAAAGTCCCCCTTCCAACCCTGTTTAGTGCCAATGTTGTGTGTTGCACTCAAGTTGTTTAACTGTGCATGTGCGTGGAAGTGTTCCTGTCTCAATAGCTCCAAGCTGTTAAAGATATTTTTATTCAAACTACCTATATTCCTTGTGTAATTAATGCTGTTGTAGAGGTGACTTGATGAGACACAACTTAACTTGTTCGACGTGTAGTGACTAGTGACTCTGTGACAAAAACTGTGACTCCAAGCGGTGTGTCCCTTCGTGCCTTTGTAGGACCCTTTGCACGAACTCTGGAAGTGGCTCTTATAAGCGCAGCTTCAGTGATGTATGTTTATGTGAACAAAGTTACAAATATTGTCCAAGTCTGGCTGTTTAAGCAAACTGTGATCAGCTTTTTTTTTTGGTATTTGTTTTTAAGGAAAAATACTGGAAACAAAAAAAATAAACTTTCTATTGTAAGTTCTCTTGGTCTGGTTTGTGCCAAATAGCAAGCGGCTCTTTCTGATTTTCTGTCTGGCTGTAAGGTTCTGGAAGTTGGTGAGTCTCAGGCCACCTGAGCAGACTGCCCTGGACATGGAGGCCTTAGATCAGCATCCTGGCTCTGACCCATCTGAAAGTTCAGAGCAGAAGGTGGAAAAGGCTGTGGGCTGTTTCAAAGTCTTGAGTCCACCCTGTCCTGAGGAGACCAAGTTATTTTTCTGGGTACAAAAAGTGAGAAAAAGAGAAAAGAAAGAAGAAAGGGGAATGGATTTGGTTAGCTGCCCTCAGGGCCTATACAGATCCTGCCTTTTTCCTAAAGGCTGCCCTAGGCCTTACCAGGCAATGGACCCCAAACCCTCTCTGCCCAACCCACCCCAGTGCCCCTTCCCCACTCCTCACCCTGAGCCCAGTTGGCTTCTTTTGCTACAATTAATTTGCTACAAATGGAAGGTACTTACCCCATCCTAGCTCGATTGGAAAACTCCTCAGACCAGCTAAAGCGCAACTAGAGATTTGCACATTTACCGACTGCTTACATTGATGCCGGCTTTCCTTTTAAAAGTTATAAAACAGTAAACTTTATAAGCCCCAGTTCCGGCTATATGACATTTGGGTGCCAAATGAATAGGGTTTTGTCTATGAATTAGATCGTAAAATCATCCATAGCACAGACAGATCGGCTCACTGGCTATAAAATGTCACGTGGGGCCATTAAAGTAAGTTTTATGGTTTTGGGGAGTTGACATCCAACATTATATACCACATAACATATAATCTCACTGACGCTGGACTCCATTTGACTCTTTTGCAGGCTATGTGTGCCGCCTGGTCATTCAAATTGTCAATTTTAGGTTCAGAAGTGACCAAACCACAAGTTTCTCAAAACTCTCTGAAAAATGGCTCCCTTCGAGTTAAGGTAAGCTCGCCTCCTGAGCGCTTTCAAGTTTATTTGTACTCTGGAAACTTTCTTGCTTGCTCCGTTCTTGCTCTTTGTTTTTAATCTACCAGTTTCGATAACTCTGAGGTTGCCTCTGAACAGAAAAAGGGAGAGCCAAGTTTTTGGCTGTGCCCAGATTTAGCAGCGCCAGGGGCCAGTTTTGCGAAGGCTGTGCTGCGGTGCTCATCGCCTGGGCCGCGCAGCGACCCCAGGCCTAACTTTAATTACTACACAACCGCGAATGTTAATGACTTCCGCTGCTCCCGCCGGCGTGCAAAAAGATGATTTTGTGTGTGTGTGTGTGTGTTCCTGTTCGAGTGGGCCTGTGTGTGGACATTTGGTAGTCCTTTAGCCCAATTCTGGGCCTGGCTAGGTCCCAACTCTTTGGGGGTCTCAGAGCCCCTTGGGTGGGGGCTGGGAGACTGTGGGGCGCCGGGCGTGGGGCGCCAGGGATTAGGCTGTGTTCAGGAGTTTGAAAGAAAGGCCGGGCAGGCCGAGGCGGACTCTAGGGGGATTCCTCCTGGGGCTGTGGCAATATGTCTTCTCTGGCCAGGGTCATTTGGCAGGACTGTATTGAGGCAGCGGCCTTCGGGGATGGGTTTCAGAAGGGTGGCAAAGGCCGGTGAGGCGCAGGCTGGACCCCTAGATTGGGAGAAGCACAGCCTTCTAGCACCCACTTAGAAGCTGAGGACCTCTGCTTTCCATCTTTGAGAAATGAGCACAGTACTTCCCTCCCTCTCACCCAGGTCCAGGCCCTGAACCTTGTTTGACTGCATACTCTTTTTATTTCACTGGGATCCTTCTCACCAGCCTGTTAGTCTAAAGCAATAAACTTTATGGCCGGATTTAACTTTAGTCTTTGAATCCTCAAGCTAATTGAAAGGGATTGAAGCACTTTCTTTTCTTCCGCCGTGCCTTTCTTGTGCCTCTCCTCTTTCCTTTTCCTTTTCCTTTGTAGAATCAAAACATCTATTGCATAGGACCCTCAAAAGGCAACTTAAGTGTCCCCCTAGATAACAGTAAAGATTAGAGAAATTCACTCCCCCCCCCAACAGACAGACAAATTCTCTCTTCCAAACTGTGCCCTAAAGTTTGGAGGGGAAATCGAGGTGTCTTCAATGCCCAACTTAAAAGTCCCTACAGCTATTAGGTTGTTTTTCCTGACACATCATGAAGGGTAGTTTAGGAAAGAAATTGGTAGTTTGTCAGTGGGAGATTTCCGCCTCTCTTTTGTTACTTGTTCTTTCTGTTTGATCCCAGGAAATTTACATAATCTATGATTTAAAAAATCAGTCTCCAAAATTGCACCAGTGGGCAAAGTAAGGTGAAATAAATGTTTCCTGGATACAATTCCATGTTAGTCCCAGTCACCCTTTCTATCTAGCCTTAGAACCCTAACATTTTTCAATGGTAAACCAAGCCAAGTAACTGGGAACATTATGGACTGTCCTGGGTGGTTTTTTTTTTTTTTCCTGGGTGAGTACCCACAAGAGACATAGCTGATTTTCCCCAAACCCATCTAAGGAGTTAAACCAAATTCTCCCACTGCATACAGAAAAGAAACAAAAACACTGAGTCTGTTTTACTCTTGGGAGCTGGAGAGTTTTTCAGAAAGTGCTAGTTTGAACAGATACTTTTCAAGTGATTAAGGCAAAAAATACAGATTTGAAATTTTGACAAACTTTATTGTGTTGAGATCCACACCTTTGTAAGTCCAACAGATGTCCCCAAAGCCAGAGGTTCTAAAAAAAAAAAAGGAAAAAGAAAAACCTTAAAAGACTTTTTAAAAAAGAAACTCAGACCTCTTTCTTAAGCCCTGCCTTTCAAGAATAGTAGGAAGCTGAAAAAAAGAAGTTATCTTGTGTGAAATGAATACTGATGTTTTAGCAGGTATCTCAAGATGTTTCTGTATCTTAGTATCAGAATTAAAACTCTACATGAGTAGGCATGGGTTCTCATTATTTTATGCATCTGTGAATATTCTGCCTTCTTTGTTTTGATGCTCTGACTTTGGGGGTTTCTTACTGGAAAGTATTGGATTGTAGTTCTACTTTAGTTACTCATTTGGTGATCTTCTTTGAATGAGTTTCTTGGTGAGTGAAATTAGAAGCAAGGAAAAGAGAGTCAAAGATGCTGGCAGGTTCATCTGAGCACCTTGAATAGAGAAAATATCCACACCACTTCAGTGGCCACACCCTGGCATGATAGAGAATGGAAGGGGAGGCTGTAGCTAGCATCATACAATACAGAGTCTTTCCTATGTATTACGCATATATAACATATATAGGCATTGTGTACTGGTATCTTGCTTGATGCTATTTTAATCTCAAAATATAAAACTTTAAAGGAGTAGGTCAACCTACATGAAATTGAATAACTTGTGAGAAACAGTTTCAGTCAGAACTATGTGCTCTCTAGTGGAAAGTTTTTTTTTCCCCTCATTTTCATAGAAAGCAAATGGAAGAAGGTGGCTAGTTTTCTGCTTACTGTGTAGATAAGTTATATTTTTTTTCTTGTGCATTCTTTGGGTTGTTTTGTTTTGCAGAGGAACTTATTTTGAGGGGAAAACTGCCACGAAGGGCTCTATGGGGACACCCAGTCTCAGCCGGTGGCAGACATGTGTGTATCTGTGCTCCTCATTTTGTAAAAGATGTTGGTAGAAATGTACCAGGGCTGGTTTGTTTCTACAAGACAAAGAGACAATATTTCCTGAACTATAAATATGATAGGAAGCTTGTGGTTGCATTTATTGAGGAATTTGTTAGGATTTCCAAGGTCTAATTTTACAAGATTATGCCCAAATTCCTTCCGTCCTGTGCATTCCCATTTTCTCCTGCTTCATTGTTGACAGCTCTGGGCAAGACAAAATCTACCAGAATCTCAACAATCTATTGAGATTCAGAGTATTATCTCCAAACAATTACATCCTAAAAGATGATCTATTAAAAAAAATGACTCTTTTGCCTTGAAAGATGTCCTTAGCATCTACCTACCCTACCTTGACTGGGAGTTTATCCCTGGCTTGCCCAAGTGTGGAGGGAGTAGAGCATGTGCACTCCATTCCTTTGGCTTCTAAAGAGAAATTCCCTCCTAGACAATGACAAAACTATAAATGGGGTCCCCAGGCAAGACTATGGGGGCCAGTCTAGGCACCTAGCCACATAGTAGAATGGACCCACAGTCCCACTATTTTAAGCTCCAGAACTGAAAGACTGGCCCAGATTTGTTTTGTTTGGTGTCCTCCCACACACACACATATTTTACACAAAGAAAGGGTTCTCCTATAGATCCCTTTCCCACAAACTGGTCTTTTCAATAATAATATTTGTTATGAAGGTTATTAGGTAATTATTGCGATTTTGTGAAGCAGCCCTTGCTGGAGGTGAAGTCTGTCATCGCCTAATAAATGATGCCCACGCAGTTCACTGCCGGGTTAAGTAAATGCAGAGAAGATAAATCTGCACACCCTAGGAATCGCCAGCAGAGCACGCTTTAGTACAAGTTCACAGTCAACTCGCCTGCCTGGGCCAGTTCTCCCAACAATTAGGGCTGTGTCTTTATATTTAAATAAAGGGGGGAAAATCCTCACCTCCATTGTTGGATCTCCCTCCTCCTGCCTTGCCCCAACCTTCTTTCACTTTTTGCAATATTCCTCTGCAAAATCTTCTACTCCAAATTTTCCTCATTAGTGGCATCATGACTGATTGCAAGTTAATCTAGTTCCTTACCTAAAAGCTGACCAAAAGAAGTAAAGACAGGAAATATAGTCACAAACACACAATAACATGCAGTCCATCCTTATTCCAAAAGGCAGTGGCAGAAACAGGGTATCTTGAGATCCTAGGGGGCCTCTTCCCCCTGAAAGAAAAGGCCCAGCTTTGTGTATCTTTGTGGTTAGTGTGTTACAACTGCAGGTCAAAAAGTTGAGGGTCAAAAGTTTACATTGTGCAGCACTCTTAGTCATCTGCCCAGACAGAGTTTGATGTCAATGTTAGAGCTGCGATCTTGACTATCAGCACAAAAGATAAAATGGCTCAAACTGACGCGTGTATCACGGTATGGACTCCAGGTGAACCCTAGTGGTTGAATGACCTCAATTACGGAGGAAAGGATAGAAAATTCCTCTTTTCAAGAGTAATACATGCTGTATTTCATGTTGAATTATCACTCTCATTCTGAAGGAATAGCAGCAGGTAAATAAGCATAGATTATAGACAACACCAACACCTTAGAGGTTGGAGAACCAGAAGTGGTTTGTGGATTTGTCACAAAGGAAAAACACCCAAACTCATCAGCGATCTTTAAGAAATCATGCAAGTTCCCAATGTCCCATTATAATCTCAAAGGCAAGAGAACAGCACAGGAAACCTCCTTTGAAACTTCTTGAAAGGATGGTTTTGATGGGCCAGGGTATTGGATTTTTTCCCCTTAATACATATAATGGCCCCTTAAAGTGTATGAGAATAAGGATGAACACAGGCACAACTTACAAAATATACCCTATGCACTTTTCAAAGAGGGGGGTGGTGGTAATCACTTCAGGTTGCTGAATGCAAAGAGCTAGGAAGGAAATGGAACACCCCTCCTAAACCAGTATCAGTGAGAAAATGCTTATTTTGGCACTAGGAAAACATTTGTGTTATTGGCAATTTTTCATTATATTTATTGTTAAAATACAAAGTGAGTATAAGAAATGTTACAATCTGCAAGTCAATGTTGCAAGAGGGAGCCCACAAATGTTAGTCCAGTTTTAAAGCCTGTCAGTACAGCTGCTGTTGTCCAGAAAATACTTTAATACATGTGGAATGGGAGGAGGGTGTCAGGAAAGGTGACAGGAAAACAAGCTATAGAGGAAAGGTGGGAGAGGAGAAAAGGAGCACTGTATGAAAGAAGCAGACTGGAACCAAGCCTCATGTGTGACTTGAAACCAAAAAGCTAACCAATATTTTACTTTTCTACTTCTGTATTAGCTTCAAATGTTGATTCCTTGAGACTCTATTTTCTATGCATCGCCTTTGAAGTGATCAATGCAGGAAAACAAAGAACAGAATGCTAAAGTGTTTTTCCTGTTTTTTTCCTCATTAATTTTGGAGATAGTTCAATTAGTCCGAAAGTAGACTCTTGCAGGGCTATTCAATATCATCTCAATATATTAGATTGGTTGTATTTAACAGTGCCAGGTAAAGTGTTCAATGGTAACATAAATATTTCCTAAACACTGCCCTCCTGGAAGTAATCAGGGTGCTTCTACTGTGCAATGTGCAGTTTTACTCTGGCCAAGAGCTTGGAGCCAAATGGGGTTTTGCCAGATGCAATAGAAGAAAGGAAACAACTGTGGTGATTACTGTTATAGCAGTGAACACTTCACCACATCTGGGCTGCTTAACGGAAGAAAAGGAAGCCCCTGTCTTACTCACAGAGACAATCATATGCCTTTTTCAGAGAACCTTTTCACTGTATTTTTGTTGCTGTTGTTGTTGTTATTAAAACTATGTAACACATCCTAGAAACATTCTAGCTTCAATGTTCATAGATACATTTTAGCTAGACTTTATAAAGTGAAAGCAAAAAGGTTCTTGTGGAAATGGTTATTTTCACAGTACTTACTTCATTTTCTTTAGGCCTTTCACATCATCCTAGTAAAATTCATGTATATTCCTAATATGAATTTCAGTCAGTGTGCCTGGATTGTGTTTGTTACTTTAAACTATGACGAGGAATATTACCCCCAAACAAGTTAATTGGTAAAAGTGTTGCTTCTCTATAATCACATGTGTAGGGTAGATGGGGTGGGGGGACGACCCTCAACAGCCACAATCAGGCACTTAAAAATTCTGTCATTCCCCAGTTTGCCAGGCTCTTTTCAGATAGAACAGTCTGGGGGATTCTTGCTCTAAAGAACAAAGGACAAATACAGTCAATACATTCCATAACGTTTACATTTCCTTTGCTTTTTCCCCTTGGTTTTCCTGAGAAGGAATGACCTGGGCAAAGCACCCTGCTCTCTAAAAGACACTGTATAGACCTTTTAGAAGCGCAAAGTCCAAGGCCGAGGTGAACTTCAGGTCAGCACGTCTAACAAATATGAAAATGTCGGCTGGTGAAGGGCGCGCCTTGTGATTTAACAAAGACTGTCAATGTGTAAGATTAATAAGAAACAAAATGCACACGGTGTCACTGTTCGGTCACTTTGAAACTAGGGACAGGGTTGCATTCAAGAAGGAAGGCTGTTCCAAATATATTCAAAATGATTCAAATCAGATTCCAACCATGCTGCAAACACTGCTGCCTTCCAGCCCTCTCACCCTCAGACTCCCTTTGCTCTTCTTCTCCATCTGGGATGCGAGGAGATGATGAAAAGTTATTTCACTTAATGGGATTTTAAGAACGCTTTTGTTGGGGATATATGTTATCCCTGCACGTGGAAACGAGCAAATGTGCTTACCAGTTTCCTAAGGAAAGGATAACGCTTTCACCCCAATTGGGACTGGAGCCAGTTGGTGTGCGAAGATTAGCTTGCTCCCTCTGCTTGATTTCAGGGCATCCCATCTTTTCTCAGGCGAGATACTGCTGGTAAACTTCTGTTTCTTTTTTGTTTTTAATTTGGGTTAATTTCTCCCTAGTTTTCCTTTGGTGTCTTGGATCTTACCTAAAAGCAAGAAATTTTTTTTAAATGTTTCCTCCCCATAAAGATCATTTGATTCTATGGAATTATGCTATGGCTTGCAAAGGGAGATTGTGGAAGGTTCAGAAAAGGTACTGGGATTGTTTATTACAGCCATAAATCTTGCAGTAAAATGTCAAAATGTCGGTGTGTGAGATAACACTTGGTGGTCCTGGCTCCATTTGTGTTTATGATAGAACCGCAAAGACAAGTTACAGGCCTTGGGGGGATTCTGTGTAAGCCCATCTTCCTAAAGTAATAGAACCACACAGGCATGGTGAACCCATTTAACTTAACCATATACAAAACAGTGCCTGTCTCTCCTTAATACTTAGAAGTAGATACTCCATGGAAGGTTCTGAGGCTAAACAACATGAGTTTTGTGTTTTAATGTCTGCAAATAATATTAAACAGACATAGTTAGACCCTAGTACTCAAGGTTGATGACATGAGGAAGAGGGCAAGATTTTGTTGTCATGTTTCTCTTCCCCCTGAAGCAGAGAGCCCAGATTTGTAACCTATACTATATACATTATACACATAATATATGTGTTTTCTTGCTGGGGAGAGATACTGGTTTAGGCAGCTATAACAGAGGCTAGTTTTTTTTTCCCCCTAGGCTTGAAAAGATGTCTAAAGATTATAATCAGTGTTGATTTCTGTCCACGGTTGGTTCAGATTTCATTAAAAACAAAAAGAAAATTCAGGGTGCCTCCAGTCAATGGACAGCACTTTTCACACACATATACCCAATGTGGAAAACCTCTTGTACCACTTCAGGACATTTTAGTTGGATAGCTAACATGATTTCGTTTTTAACCTCTTTCCCTAAGTTAGTTTAAAGATTAGTCCCATATAATAGGCTTTATATGGCTAAGCATTAAATGACTATCCATCAAATGGATATATTCCAGCATTTAGTAACTCATATGAGTAACTGATATAAATGAAGGTAGAATTGACACTCTTTTTGAAGTGTCTCCAGGCTTAGGCTTTAACTTTCCTTGTCTTTGTTCCAGACTCAGTTGTGAGAAAGCTGTTTATACTGCTGTAAGGCGCAAATGAAATATTCTTGCTTTGCATGCCAACATGAAAGTTGTTTTCAGAATCGTAGCCACGTTAGTTTTTTCAGTGATTTAAGCTAAACTGAAAGGGCTCTAGGTGTGTCAATTACTCAGAAAAGAGAAAGTACCCAGTATGAATAAGGCATCAGTGTTTACTTCAACATTAGGTGGAATTAATAAGTAATTTATTTGTTAATAATGGTGTAATTAGTTTACCCATCAAGTTTCAATTACCAGATGTAGGCAACAGTCCCCTCTCCCTCCTTTCCGGAGATTTTGATATCGTTAATATGCTAATTTTCAGGAACTCAGAAATTATAGACTGTTGTGTAAATATAGCTCTAGTCTCAGATACAGCTCAGGAAAGGGGAGCATCCATAAGCGAAAACAAAATTCTTAACTGGAAAAGACCCGTTGATGTTCAGAGCCGGCAGGGGTTGATTCTTCCATCTTTAGCTTGTTTTTGTTTGGTGGTTGTTCTGAAATAGGAACTTATTGATTTGTGGTGGCATTGCTTCTGTCCACTCCCACCCTCGAACCACCCTCTTTCCCAGTAGCACCTAGCAGGAATACTTAGTTCACTTGTCCCTCGATACCTCTGGTGTTAGAAAGTGCCAGGTTTTTCTGTTTTTGTTTTTTAAGAAAAAAATCGAGCAGATTATGTTTCAAAACAAGCGGTGTGGGGAGAGGGGAAGCAAGTGTCCATCCAGTTATCCTGGAATGTCCTCACAGCACCACCTTGAGTAGATTACTCTCAGCCGTCCAGCGCCCTTCCTTGGCGTTCAGGTTTCTCTAAGCAGGGGCCGGTTGACTCCAGCAGCGCCGCGGACGAGTGAGCTGGGTGTAGGCAAGGGATCGGAGCGTGAGAGCACAGGTCTGTTTTATTCCAGGGTCAGGGTAAAAACCAGGGTATCCCCTGGTCCCCACGCCTTTCGCTCCTTCAGTGGTCCCCGAACCCTGGAGGCCGAGAGGCCCGACTGGGGCTGGGGGTCAGTGCCGAGCCATGGCCAACTGCCCACAGGCCTGGGCCAGAAGAAGGGCGCGCACGGGACTCCAGAAAACCTACAGCGTCGTGACGGGCCCCCGAATTCCCAGCGAGAATCCGAGTTGGGGTGGGGAGGTTGGGGGCGTAGGACCCAAGGCCCTGCTCACTCCCCGCGGACAGGGCCCGACAGTGGCATCCATCAACCAGCCGCGCGTTTCCTGATCCGGGTCCGCGCGCGCGGAGCGCCCATTGGTGGGACGGCTGCACGTGGGGCGCGGGGCGGAGCGCGCGGGGCTGGAACGGAACGAGCGCGCGCACGGGCGGGGGTGGAGCGGCGCGAACTTTGGTGGCGGCGTCGGCGGGAGGGGGAAGGGTGGACACTTGACAGCGGGGGGAGGGGAAGGGCGCCGAGGAAAGGGGGGGGATGGGGAGCGAGGCGAGAGGGGGAGGGGCCTCGGCAAGCCCAGAAAAACGACAACGCGAGAAAAATTAGTATTTTTGCACTTCACAAATTAATGACCATGAGCTCGTTTTTGATAAACTCCAACTACATCGAGCCCAAGTTCCCTCCCTTCGAGGAGTACGCGCAGCAC